CTACTTTATCTGATGATTTAATCGAACAATATCGTCAGAACATTGGTATCCAACTAATATTTCCAGCGTTTACATGAACAAGTCGAAATCGAGCGAAAGCTGAACAATTTGGTAATGTCCTATTCATCATTCATGCTAGTTTGATCAATGGAAACGATGTGCCACCATATTCGGACTATCTCGATGAAGAAGAAGTGCTACTTACTGCCGATTTTGCTTTCTATATACGATCTTGTACATTTGATAAGACAAAGAACAAATGGATTATAAATATTTCGTCTTGGAAAGACGATTAAGAGATAACTTTGAAATGCAGACTCATTATCCGAGAAAGAATTAGAATATTGTACTGTTCTCATTTAAGAAAATAAAAGATTCCTCTACCAATTTAATGTCATCCCTTTTTTCAACCGATACAATCCTTTTTCAAATTGATATCCTATATTCTGGGTAGATATTAGAATTGATTAAAACTCTCAAAATTTCAAACTTGTTATTAAACAAGTCAACAAAAAGATATCATCGATGTACGTAAAAGAATGAACAGAACTCAAGTTTAGCTAACAGAATTTTGCTGTAATTATACCAATCGAAATTAAAAAAATCGTGAACAGCATAGCCTATCATTTGATAAATGATTTCTAATTAAAATGATGAGCAACTTCAATACGATTCACATCGTCATAGAGTGAAAACGTCATTAATATAGACGGAGACCCAGATAAGATCCGAAAATTGAACGGCGTATTGCATGGACGACTTTTGACTTGATGGGCTAGTTTTATTTGGACTTACGATAAGAAATTGTGCGCCACTGATGGTACTCATTGGTTAAGTCGAGAACAAGCAAAATTTTCTGGGAAAAACTTGGCCAATCACGGCCGCTTTTCTTCTTCTGCAGCTACAGTATGACAGGCGTTCATCACTATTAAGAGGCAGGAGCGTCACAGTTTTTCACTGCAGAACGAAACAAATCTTCCCAATCCTGTTTATCGTTACACCACCAGTTTTCGATCATCTAAACGTACACTCTTTTGTTGAACAAGATCCAATTTATTAATAATCAATGGGTTATATTGGTTCTTACCTGACAGACATGATTTCTGAAATGGCAAAAACGTTGGACCGAATATTTGTTGATAACATGTTTTGAAGTCTTCAGTTTCACTAGGGTTTGACTGCCTAGATTTGGACTCAATCGAAGAAGACGCTCATAATTGTTCACAATCGGCAGATGTCATCGAGCTTTATCTAGCACAACCGGTTTCTCAATTTGTACACTACTCGGAAGACATATTTGGTTGAAACTTTTGCTCTTTTGCTACAAAGACGGTTTCAAATGTGATTTTTTTGAATTGTTATGGGATTTTTCGCGATAGAAGTTTTTCGAAAGTTATACATACGAAAGTATATTCATTACACTATTTCGCACAACCAGTACATTTTTGGCACAAGTCTGTTGATGAGCGTTCACCTGAAAATGCAAATCGACTGCTAACTGTATCCACATATAGAACAAAGCATGTTACAAATATTGCATGTTTAAAGTACATATATGGCTGCACATAGAAACTGAACAATTCAAGCAGGACGAGTTTCTAGTGATCTGCTCTCATAGATAAGTGATTCAAAAATTTATTATTTCTGCGCATATTGATGCTACGATACCAATGCTTTTCAGGAATTTGTGCAGCAAGATATGAAGTGAAAGTCAGTGGATACTGATGCGGTTGGACAGAAATGTCCAGATGTTTATCGAATTTTGCCCAATATTTACGTAAATATTCATTTATTGTATATTCTTTTGTTAAAATATAGACTGTAAGATCGTCCGACCAATCGAAGCTATATATTATGTGCAGTTCTAAGTAATAGGATGTGTTCCATCAGCCTTTTTTGTGACTCGATGTAAAAAGACCAACATAGAAAAAGTTAGATTAGATGCGGCAATGTATAAGCAAAGAACAATTTCTTTCATAGTTGCATTAGAGTAATGGGTAATTTCTTACAAAGTATTCGAAGAGTGCAATATATTTTCTTATTTCCTTCGAACGTCTTTGGATATGAATTCTCCATTGTAGTTTTGTTGTTATATCGAACTCAAAATAATTTAAAGAGTTAGAAAGATCAATTCTTATACCTGCATACTTCATTTTGAAGTATAATGATGCTATAACATCATCGAAAAGTAAACCTTTGACACTATTAATACTTACAGTAGGTATATCATTTAGCTGCGTATTCAACCAACATACCAATTTTAATTTTAGCCTGTCTTTCTAGTTCGACAATGCCTCTAGGAAAGTGGTTCTAAAGCGGCTCATATATGAGGATGGTTAGGTCATCAACACAAAACCATGAAGAGCACTAACAAATAGATAAATCGGACTTTAAACTGTTTCTTCAACGTGAATTGACATAGTCCTTCCTTTCCATCAAGAAAAGATCCATCGTAGAAGTGATCATGGAAAATCTAATTTGACCAATTTTGAAATTAGAACCGGGTTTCACATCTTGTCAAACGCTGGTATACAATCTAAGAAGATTACTGGTTTTGGTTTGTTGTTGACCACAATTGTTAGCCTTAGGCTGTCTTCTAGGGACAAAATACGTGTTTGACATCTTCTTTCTGAGATAAGGCTGGACTGTTCGTCTACGTAAATTCTTTTATCACTACACCATTTAAGAATATGCATGTTTATGATTAGCTTGAAATAATTTCAAAAATTAGACAGAAGGTAGTGTATGTACTTACTAACTCTGTTCCATGTGGAAGAAAGAATAGAAGAAAAAAATGCAAGGGAGAGTCAAAATTTAAATTATAAACAATAGAGTTTAACTACTCAAAGAAAAATACATTTGAGGAAAATAGAGAGTCTTTCCTAGTTAGTTTGACGAAAAAACATTTTTTACTCGAATTGATAGAGGTTCTTTGGTCAAAACAGGGTAGTGATCCGACGGCACTTCTTTTATAAATTCAGCTTTCCAACCGTATGCATCATGTGTAATTCTAGAGTCAATCACTCAAGAAGACTTATTAGACATTGATTAGTTACAATAGATCAGCTCATAGAAAGCATTATCAAGCTAACTTCTTATATGAGATCAAATCGCATTAATATGATTGTAAAAACAATCAATATGTAAAGCTCATACACGTACGATGACGAATGACAATGTACGGTCACCTAGGTTGGCCGAATTCGATATAAATATGACGTATATACGGCGAAAATGCGGTCGTAAGGACACCGTAATCAAACTGCATACGAGCATCACATCAAAGTGTCAGATCCAGACAAATGCTAATGATTTTTGTCATTACTTTCATTTCACAAAAAATTACGAAACAATATGAAATATTCTTCATCAGAGATCATTTGAATTCTCGCATTGTACTAAGTCAACACATTAAAATAAAATGTATCATATAATAGATATTTTGACCATTAGTCAAGAACATATTGAGAGATCAAGTCGTCTGATCAGAATCAAATTAACTTGATGCGGCTGGAACTTAGAATCTTGCCGTCTTGTACTCCAAGAGTAGTTGATAATAATTTAAGTTGAACTGGAAAAATAGTAGTTATTCAATTTTCCAAAAAAAATACAAGACTTGCTGAAGAAGAAACACAAATCACATTTTCAGGATGTATCTCAACGAGCACCTAGTGCCGCAATATAAGATATATGCGACATCCTTTTGCATTAGTGTGAAAAAGTCGCATGGATACATCATGAAGTGCAAAAACAAAACTTACTTTTTCTAGTTTGGGTGCGACCATTCTCTTCACTAACATGCTCGCTCATCCACACTCTCACCTTATGGATAATGAATTATATGGATAATTAAACAATCAATCAACAGCGTTCATCAATTACATGTTGACAGACATTCATAGAGTTTTACTTATGTAAGAAATTAGTCTGTTGATAGAATGTTTATTTGAGTTTCTTCTTTTTTTCTTTCTTTCTTCGTGTAAAATTCTGAACCTTTAGTGGAAAAATCACTTTAATAAAAAAATGAAACCATTTGTGACAGCAATGTTTCTATTCCAGATGCATGAGTACAATAATATTAAAAATCCTACTAATCTTTTGCCGTTATGTAAACAATATAAAGTACAACTCAGCAACTTATTCTATACAAAGTAAGATCCTGCCGTGCGGTAAAAGATGCAGATCTTACCCGATAGACTTAAGTTCCGCGGAAGATGAAGTTCCACTAAGTCTAGGTATTTATTTGATGTTATGTAAAGGAACAAAAAAATTATGGCAAATAAAAAAAAAGTACACTGAGTTTACATTAAAAATATTTGAAAAAAAGAGAGAAGGAATTTGCACTTTTTCATAAGGTATGCCACTCTGTCCATTTGTTTTTCGTGTCATTATTTTTTTGTTGTGGGCACTGAGACGATATGAAAGCAGTAAATCAGACCTTGAAAATTATGATTTTTAGCAACCAGCCAATAAAGATCACTTTCATATAGCACATACTAAAAACTGAACAGTATTACGAGTTCTTGAGTAGCAAAAGTTGGTTTTTATGCGGAACAACCATAATAATCAAAATCAACGTGAGAAGATGCAACACAGACATTATTTTCAACCGTAAAATGTTTTCTATCTAAGTTTTAGCTGCATGAGACCCAAGAAGAAAAGCTCAAGGAGTAAAAAGCTGAGGAGATATGGCTAAATTCTTGATGAAAAATACCTTACGGCGAAGAACTAAGCCTTTGGAATACTTTTCTCATGCTGATTGTGATTAGCATGATTATTTCTCTTAACAACCAACTTTTGATAATCGAAATATCAATATTCTATACAGTATTGGATATTTTCGATATGAAAATGATTCTTATTGGATTCTTGATAAAAATAAAAATATTTAAGGTTTGATTCAGTACTTTCATAGCGGCGTACTGATTACCAGAAACATAAATAATACAAAGAAAAAAGCAGACTGAGGTGTATAAGTATGGATTCTTTTTACAAACATATTATGATTGCATTTCAATAACGTTTACTTGCATCGTTTTTTTTCTCTTCTTTTGGCATGGCTTCCATAATAGTTTTAATACTGTTCTGTTCTTCAATTGAAAATTATCAAACTGTTCTTCAACATCTTCCAGTAAAACTCTTCTTGTTTCTGGACAAAAAAGATATACGAAAACTACAGCTAATAAAGTCAAACCACTAAAAAGATAAAAGACTCCATGAATTCCTATAGGTGCTATTAACTCCAATATGTAAGACATAACTGTACCCATAAACCAGTTGCTACCTGTGGTTAATGAAACAGCTCTAGCTCTAACGTTAAGAGGAAAGATCTCAGCTGCATAAATCCAGGCGATTGGTCCCCAAGAAAGTGCAAAAAATGCTACAAAAACAGCAGTAGCAACAAGCATTAGTATACCAGAACTCGTTTTACAATCCACAGTTTCTTGACTTTGTGTAGTTCCATTGATTATAGATGTGGCTACATCGCAACCTGTAACAAATATTGTTGCTGCTACAAGATGACCAACTACCATAGCTAGGCCACAAATTATGAGAAGCTTTCGACGTCCTAGTCTATCAACCAAAAATAGAGCTGGTATTGTGCTTAGTAAATTTGTGCCAGATAAAACCAATAATGAAATGATACCCTTTCCAAGCACACTTTCGTAAATAATACCACCAAATGTAAATATAGGATTAATACCCGTTGCCTGTTGTAAAATATGCATGGCCATACCAACGCCGAGTCTTTCGAGCATCTTTTTTTTTGTGAATAGTTCTTTCCATGAAACCTGATTACCTTCTTCTTCTATGGCATCAGAAATAGCGTCTAATTCAGCAGTTACATCATCCATTCTACGAATGCGCTTTAAACTTTTCTCGGCTGACTCACGATCCTTATTCTTGTACAACCATCGCGGAGTTTCAGGACAAAAAAATATACCAATAATAATTGTAATCGGAGCAATTAAAATAATGCCATTTGATAATCGCCAGCCCCATTTATGATTTTGTAATAAAATATTTACTATATTAGCAGCGAACAATCCAATGACTACAGTCATTTGCATAAAACCAGAAAGCATTCCACGCAGATTCGTTGGTGCTATTTCTGAAGCGTATAAAGGGCAGGAAAATGAAGAACAACCAACACCAGTACCTTCAACAATCCGCCCAATAAGAATCAAAATCATGATCTTTTTGGAACCTCCTGGTGGGAAAATAACCATTGAGGTTCCAATTAGAAAAAGAATTGCCGATGTGAAAATGATAGCTCGACGTCCATATTTTTCTGCCACAAATGCAGTAATGAAGACAGCACCGAAAAAGCATCCGACATTGTACAATAGCGTAAATAGTACCAAAAATTGCCTGTATTCGCTAGGTAAAGCAGGTACTGGAAAATTGCACACAGTTGAATTACCATATACACCAATACAAAAATCATTTTTAAACGAATTCATAATCACGATACCACCTGTAACACCTTGGTCATAGCCAAAAAACCATCCACCCAGTGAAGTAAAGGCCGCCAATAATATAGCAAAATATGGCTTTCCAAAATGAACCTTTTTATGATCATGATGATGAATTTCGCCAAGAGATTCCCTCGGTACTTGGTTTATATGTTGATCGTTTTTGCTTTCGAACTCAATTGACATTGTGATTAATCTTTGTTTGTGTTACTGTAATAAAATAATACAAGTTTTTTCGTGAATAAATGTAAAGATAGTGATTAATTATTCAAGAGCGCTTTCACTTATGCTATATAAATACTTTCTACAAGGAACTAAGACATGTAACACGATGAGAAACAAGATAACATTGAACATTTTTGAGAAAATCAATTTTTTTCACATAACACTATAAAAGCTAAGAAAAGATAAGCTATTCATTGTCGAATGCTGTTCCTGGATGCAATCGAACTCATATCGTAGTTTTCGTTTCCTATCACTTTAATATTTATCTTTTTACAACCGATTTCTGTTCTAATTGTGAGTCAATACACTACAGAGTGTCCGAAAAGTCACTTTACACTTTGTACTGTACATTCGGCACACATTTGAAGACTATACATAATTATTCATTAATTACAATTCAAAAATTATTGTTTACTTTCTGTAAGATGTTCGGAGCGTGCCTTTAACAATAAATAATGATTCATGAATAATTAATAATGAAAACAAATTTTCAGATGTGTCAACATGGGTGCAGTGCCAAGTGTAAAGTGACTTTTGGGACGTCCCATCTTATTGGACGTAAACCCTCTATATAGGTGGTAATCGATATATGCAAGGTCATAGATGGATATGGAATAATGAATATATGGAAGGAAATGAGTATTTTATATGTATGGGAGATAATGGTAACTTTGGAGATGTGAACCTGAAAGATATGTTTACATGTTGTAGATAAGTATGTCATTAATTTTCTTACATCGTTAATCGCCATTATCTCCTATACCATCATTAATTCTACTATGGCGATGAAAAAATCATCCCCACAGGATATGTGGGTGATCAAAAGAAACATAAACCCATGAAATGGTTTGGAAATTCATTTATGTTCTTCGAAAACTCCGAAAGCCCATCATATATCTGTTCAACACAATGCGATAGATTTCATATCGAATCATAAAGTACTAAATAGTAGTTAGCTGAAGGAATGCCACTGGTTGAGCATAACTTATAGAAATTAATTAGTCTTTGTGTTTTTTGAAATCTCTCCTGACGCTTCAGAACTCATCTTGATATCTATCTTTGCATCATCTCTATTAATGCAATGAATAATATTTATTGCAAAACTTTGCTTGTATGCTGAAATCACTCGATCGATCTGTGACAATTTCAAGATTTTTCATTCATCAATAGAATGAACGATTTCGTTCTGCAAATGTTCGAAAAAGCGTACAGGAGTTTACAGACAAACAGTGCGTTTTTTTCTATCTGCTGCCAAAGAAACTTGGCTTTAGCTAGCTTTCACAATCAATCAGTGATATGCTCACCTGTTTTGCCATTAAATATTGTGAAGGATCACGGAATGAATTACAATAGACTTACATTAAAAACATCGAAGAAAGCATTATATCAGTGATATATCTGAGTTAAATGCCACAGTTGGATTAAACACAAAACATTGCTTCGTTTTAAATCAATATGTATTTATGTTTGAATAGGTTAAGAATGATATTTACTATTCTTTGATCAAAGTGTGCGAAATATAAGCTTTTTGTATTTTGAAAAGATCAAAAAAGTGAATAACAAACTCAATTTACTATAAAGAGCGTCCCATAATCACTGAGGATAAACTATCAACAACATTTCAGATACCTAGTTTTAATATAGAAAGCTGAAATTATTTTGAAATATAGATTGAAACGAATTTATGAATTTTTCCTCGAGTTTAACCCTCTAACTATAGATTAAGAAAAGGTACATAAACAACATGGAATTGTATGAATTTTTGCAATTTATTTTGGTGACATTCTCACTTCTCGATCAATAGTATTTACAATTAATTGATGAGAAAAAATAACAAGTCGAATTCTTTCAAGAAAACAAAACCATACTATAAATTGAATGTCTATTGACAAATTCCCCATTGTTAACAATGACTCACTACAAATGAAAAGGTATTTCTTCCATCATTTTTTTCACATTTTTCTTTAGAGAATTTATCCGATTGTTTTTCGATCTTTTTTTGCGATGGTATATCACACACATTACCATCAGTACTTCTATTAATCATTACTGATGTTGGTTGGTTTTTTCTTGTTTTGGCCATCTTGAAACTGGATCCCACTTAGCGTTTATAAATGCGATTTTTAGCGTTGAACATGAGTTTTGCTTTAAAAATTTACTGCATGGTCGATTAGTTAAATAAAGTGTTTTGCGTATGCATGTATTTATGCAGATTGAGATGAGCTGTGTAAGCGTCTTTTCTACGCGTATATGCGAATAGAACTATTTTTCTCGCATGCAGCTTTACAAACTAAGTAAAAAGATAATCGTCAACCTACTACAACTCGAAAAGTATTCAGGTGATGGTGGCTGGTTCATATCCAATAGAATGCTAATTAGCCGTTTTGTAAACTTGATGGTAAGTGTGAGAATGTTCTCTAGACATGTTTTCTCCTCACTAGCATCCACATTCTTTAGTTTACAAAACTGACTGGTAGGCGCTCCATTGGGCAGAAATTGAATTGCCACTATCGAAATACTTTTTGAACTACAGTCAATGTAACATTGTCTTTTTACTCAGCTTGTAAAGCTGCATCCAAAAAAATACTTTCATAAATTACAAAAAAAGAAATAAAATAGAAAATTTGGCATATTTGGAAATACACTTGTTCCTCACAAAAAACGTATTCAGGCTTACCTTTTCAAGTCCATACGGATAAGTTATACAAGGAACAGCAGAAGTCACTTCAGTTTTGAAGTTTCATGAAATCTTTTGAACATCAGTACAATTTCAATGAAATATTAACAAGTCTTTTGAAGTCTTCTGTTTTATCTTCGAAATTATAGAGTCGAAACTGAAAACAGCATCACAAATGCAATATGATGCATGCATTGATACAAACACCAGTGTGATGCGTTTAAGTTGTGTAGTGATACGGATAGTAGAAAGAGAAGAAAACACGATGAAGAAGATGCATTAAACGAATAATTAAGCAAACGAAAAAGAAAATGAAAATGAGAGTGGATATGATGAAACTGAAAAGAATTCCGAACAGAAGATTCAAGAAAATGAAAAGAGAATATGAAATAAAAACAACAAAAAAAGGAAGAATAAAATTTTGTGGTGATCTTTTCTTTTTGTATAGACAAACCTACATCCACATCTGGACAACTAGCCGATTCAATTACAGAGCTAACAGACAAAAAACTAGTCCGTTCAATATATTAATTGATTCACGAGTTTTTCTCGAAAAACTTTACTACTACAGCGCTACAAGGCATCCGATGGGAAACTCGTATATCTCTTTCATTGTCTAAAAGTAGCAATTCCTATTGTACTCTGTAATGTTCGGTTTAAATTAATAGCGAGAGCAAAGGAACAAGGAAGTTGACGTTTTTGTTGGACAGGGGTTACTAGATCAGCTGTCTTGGTAGTCATGAGCATGGTCTCACGGAACTTTTTAAGTGTGTTGACTATGACAATTTCTTTATCGATTTTTAGAACACTGAAGCTAGTCTAGTTTTCTCGGTTTTTTTGCTTTCTCGTGTCTTTACAGATCCAAAAGTATGAACTTGACAGTCTCCTATTATCAACTATTTCTAGTTATCATCAGAATTCCAGCTTGTAGTATACAGCTCACAGGTTTTTATCGTACGACAAGGACTTGGTTTACAATGAATGAACTTATGATAGCAATGAAAGTTAGACAGCCATCAGAAGTTCGATTCCGTCTAAACGAGAGTTTTCACCTCGAAATTTCAATTAAAAAGTAACATATAATGTTCATTATTTTTTCTTCAATAAGAAAATACAGTTGGATAATCATCAAACAAATAAGTAGTGAACATTGCGGTTATATAAAAAGCATAAAAGAGTTAACAACTACTACAATTCATTTGAGAGTTAAAGATTCGTGATCATTTTTCGGATAACTTTTGACCAGCAAAGACTATCGAGCTTGGAGTTGCGCAGTTGAATAGAGCGAACTCCGAGGTATCTTTCTGTACGATTCATTTGAGTCTATAAACACTATTTAACGACTTTTTATATGTCGATATATTGTTTTTGTCTTTTTTAAACGAATTTCTTCGTCATTCTAACTTCTATTCTATGAAATTGAAGCTGGAATTCCGATGTATATACAGTGAAATTTCCATACATCAAAGTGGCCTTGTTGAAGAAAAGACATCAAAAAGACGATATGAAGATGTCAAAATTTTACCATGTATGTAGCAGAATTTCGGCTTCAATTTGCTATAATGGTAGTTAGAATGTCGAAGAAATTAATGGAACCAAGACAGAAACAACATATCAGCGTATAAACAGTTGTTAAAAGTGTCTATAGACTCAAATGAATCATGCAGAAAGACGCCTCGAAGTCTGTTCTTTTCAGCTGCGCAAATCTGAACTCGCTAACCACTTCACCATTCAAAACTGCTTCAAAAAATGGTGATGGCCATTTAACTCTGAAATGAACATTAGATACGCAGTTAGAAGACTATTTGCGTAATCATTTAAGTCAAGTTTGAGGGACTTCCATTTATTGCAAACATAGGTAAAATCAAAACCTACGATGTTTTTAAATATCCTTCCTGAAAAAAGTGCAGATTCCATATTCATTTTTGTGCGGGATCAAATATTGAAGACCGAACAACGTGGATAGGTTTTCTTGAAAAGATGATCGTGAAAAACAAGTAGCTAATTCTAGAAATCATGGATTAACATATTCACGAGAATCATATAAAACATCGTCATGATTACAAAAAGTTATCTTAAATAGACTAGATGATTCATTCTTTTTGTGGATTTTAGATGATTCCACAAAAAAGCACCCGTGGATGATTTTGATTGACATGTCCAAACTTCTCAAATCGGTTTTTCTTTGATTATCTCCATGAGAATCGAATAGAAACGATGATCATTTCGTACGAACTTTGTCATTAGACCTTAATTTAAAACAAACAAACAGAGAACAATTGAT